TTCTCAACAAGAAGTTTCATTTTTTCCCCAAATTAATTAACTTCTTTGATCGAAAAAAGAACAAATGTGAGAAAAAATTTCAAATGTTACTATGTACAAGATGCAACACAAGTGGTTCAACAAGAAGTTTGCAAAAATATCTTAAACTACAATCTAGATCTGCTGTTGTGGTAGCAATGGGGTTGTGGGGTGGTGGTGACAACCGAATCTGTTGTGACAAAGTCATTGTTTTGCTTCTTTAGCTCTGTGATGTTCATGCACCTCCTTGCTCATGAAGATAGTGGCTATGTAGGCAACAAATATATTTGTACTAGATTTTTTGTAGTGGAAGCCGAGGGTTTGTGCGGTGGTGGTGACTAAATCTATTGTGACAAAGGTGTACAAATTGTCGACCTATACTAAAAAATCATTACCTTTTATGTGTTTTCCTTCAATGTGATTTTCAAAAGTGACCAAAATGAAAGGTATATATACATCATACTATTAGATATTATAAAAAACCAATAAGTTAGATATTGGTAACATGATCGTTAGATTTTTCAAGTGAGGTTTCATTTGACAAATCTAATGATTTGTTGTCATTTACCAATATCTAATTTATTGGTGAATTGAATATATCTAATATACCATAAGCGTTGTTTTTCTCCTTTAGCTTTGTGATGTTCGTACGCCTCTTTTCTCATAGAGATAATGATAACACCAATGACATGTATATTCCAACTAGATTTGTTGTGGTGGTAGCGACGAGCTTGTGATGGTGGCAGGGACCAAATCTATTGTGGTAGAGGCATCACTATTTTGCTCCTTTAGCTTCATGATGTATGTGTGCCTCCTTGTTCATGGAGACAATAACAATGCAAATGACAACATCAAAAAACTTAGTAGAGCAAGCATCAACAACTATTTCTGCGACTAATGAGATGGAGTTGTCATTAAAGATAGAGGTGAAGCGAACGTTATGACTCCAACTTTGGTGTCAAATGTGCATCATCATGGTGGTTGGTGGCTTCGGTGCGAAGTTGCATTTGTTGTGAGGGGTGAATTAGTGTGTGACATAACCACTTCTTTGTAATAAAGATATTCAAAATCGATCTTGGCATCCAATGTTGAATGTTTCTTTTAAGATTGATTATCCAATTTTAACAGTGGTCAAACTCAACATTAATAAATACAAAATTGGTTATACAACCAATTTTAAAAATTAATTTTGCCCTAGTGTAGAAAGAAATACTTTCTAATTAAAGACTAAATCTCTATGGAGAAAAGTATTTAATTTAATTTTTAATATGTTTTAAATAATATTACTTCTCAAAAATAGACAGATGCAAAAAAGTTAAAAAAAAAGTACGCTTATTAGCTACATATCTCTAAGATATTATCAATTACCATTTAAAAAGTAGTGTTGATGAAAATTTTAAGAGCATATTTTATTTTATTTTTCTTTTCTTTTAAAAGAATTTTCTAAAAGAAGTACACATTACTCACTAATTAATTTTTTATCCAAAATTTATAATATTTAATTTTTTTAAAATGAATACTTTGAAGAAACAAAAAAATAGTTAGAATATGCCTTCAAATTTTCTCAATTTTATACTTCACTCTCTACTTTGTACCATTCTCCACTTGTTTTCTAGACAATTTTATCAACCTCTATATATAAATTAAATACAAACGATTATTTTACTTAAGAGTAATTTGAGAAATATTTTTTCAATAAAATAATTTTAAAAATTATTTTAACACTATATTTAATTCAATTTTTATTTATTATAATTATTTATTTATTAAATTTTAATATTTTAAAATAAATTATCAAATAAAAAAATGTAAAAAATATTATTATAATGTAAATTATTTATTATAAATTTTAAATATAATTTATATGTATAAAAATATCTATTTATATAAAATTTAAATATGATTTATATATTCAAATATAATAGTTAATTGTATATAAAATTTATTATAAATTTTAATTATATTAATAAATATTTTTTCTATGCATTATACAAACTAAAATGTTAACAAAAAATAATTTAAACAAAATTATTTTTAAACTATGGAATGTGAGCCATGTACTGAAAATAGTATAAATTAGCACATGATTATATACTTATATTGGAAGTGGAATTCTATTTTTGAAAATAATAAAATTTGATATCTTTAAAAAATCAAGATTGTTATAATTTATTATATTTTGTTGCTTTTCTGACTGTTATAATTTGGTGTTTTATTTTTTACTTTAATTAATATGAAATAACGATTGAAAATATTATTTAAATATTATTTTTTTTATAAATAAGTGAAAGTATTATTTTTAATTTTCTAAAAGTAGACTATATTTTAAAAAAATTCAACTCGTGACCTATCAAACGATCATTAGCACGTGCAGAAGGGAGCGGTTCCGCCTTTTACTGAGACAAAAAATTGAAAGGAAACCCTTCAGTCTTCTGTATGTCCCACTTTTATTATTTAAATTAGTTGGCTTTAGGTGTGTCTTTATATTTGTTTAAAAATATTTAAAAATTATTAATATTTATTAAATTAATATTTATGTTGTTGTTATCATTATTATCAATGTTATTGTTCTCATTATAATTTTGGCCACCATTGTCTCATTAAAATAATAATAATAATTTATCATAATAATTAATATTAATTAAAATATTATAGTAAATTTGACATTATTTTGTTTGTATGGTTCATCATTCATTAAACAAATTACAAAATAAAAAATTATCTAATAACCTGAACATTTGTCATGTACTTTAATGTGTATCAAACACATTCATTACTTTTTCTATACTATAGAGCAAGTGTGAGTAACAAAACACATTAAAAAGAGATAGATGAAACACTACAATCAACATAGTGGTAAGAGATCATAGTATGCACAAGATTTTTAGTTTGAATTATGTCATCATTGTAATTTTTTATAGATAAAAAAACACGTGCATGAACATTTAATTTTTTACAGGATTAATGATAGTGTGTTAAACTACATTAATGACTCAAGGTTCTCATTCACATTAAAGGTATTTTTGGATGAAAATTTGTAGAAATTCAAGAAATTTAAAATTTTTAGAATTTGAATTACTTTAATTTCGATTTTCATCATTCAATAAATGTTATATTTAGATAAGTCAATTAAAATTTCTTAAATTTTAAATTCTTCGTACGGATATGGTAATTTGATTTCTAATATAGGTAAAATTATATATATATATATATATATGTGTGTTAAAATTTTAAAATTAAATTTTATAAAAATAAATATTAACCAATTTTTAAATATTTAATAGCTTTAAAATTAATATCAGATAATATTTAATAATTTAAAAATTAAAAAATGTACTAATATTTTTTATAATGACTTTAAAAAAGAGATGAGAGAGCTAGGAGAAAGAACAAAAACTAAAAAAGAGATTACTTTAAAATATTCTTCATTACCTCAATTATTTTAATTAATATTAATCATGTCAATACTAAACTAACTAAAACTAATAAACATTAAAAAGATATACCATAATCTAAAAGTAAAAAAATATTTCAAAAACTAAATGCAATCATCTCATATTTAGAACATCTTTAATGAAAGTTATTTTTAGATTGCTCTACAATAAAAATATTATTTTAATATACTAAATAATTTTTTATTGTTTAAAATTTGAAGAGTTTATTATATAACAACTCTTACTTGTAAGTTGCTAGCATGTGTTACATGTAAATGAAAGAAAATAAGAGACATTGAAGAGAGAGAAAACATATTAAGTTAAATAATTTTTGGATAGAAAGTTGCATTGAAATAACAAATAAATTAGTTGTTTAAAATTTATGCATCATGTATGAACTCACTTGAAAAAATAATGCGAGTTACTTATTTGAAGGGCATTACATAAAACTTTTTTTTTCTTCTGTTTATATTCACTAGTACAAAATATAGAATCTACGTCAGCGTTTTCTCGTCGAATATAAAAATATCCAACATAAAAAAGAGACGGTGAAAATTTTAAAAATAAAGCAAACTTTTTTACGTCGGACTACATTGGGGCCGACGTAAATTTCAAAATCTACGTTGAATGTGGCTGATGTCCGACGTAAATTTTCAATTTTACGTCGACCCCAATGTAGTCTGATGTAAAAGAACTTCTTATTTTCCCTCCAGCCACTTCGTCTTGTTCGCGCGCGCCAGGTTTACACAACAGAGGAAGCTTTTTTTGGTGGTGCGATTTCTGGCGAAGGGTTCGTCAACTACGTGTGGACGTCTCCGGTTACGGTGATTTCCGGCGAAGGGCTTTTCGACATCCTTGGGTGATTCTAGATCTTTCTAACCGATTGGATTGAATGTTTTTTGGGTTTTGGACGATTTGAAGTTAGTATATATGTGAATAAGTTTTGGCTTCCTTCCATTGTGTATGAATCTTGTTGGGCCGAGTAACAACTATTGTATGAGTTTCAGTAACGGCAATTTCTGACAAAGGGCTCCTCGAATACATGTGGGCGTTTTCAGTCACGACGATTTCCGATGAAGGACTTCTCAACATCCATGGATGATTCCAGATCTTTCTGACCGATTGGATTGAGCATTTTCTGGATTTTAAACAATTTGAAGTTAGTATATATGTGAATGAGTTTTGGATCTGACTTCTGAGTTTAGGATCCATGTTTTCTGACGAATACACGTCCAGAATAAAGGTGGAGGTGGAAATTTTCTTGCGGGCAACAATTTTACGTTGATCCTTGGCGATATCTGACGTAAATTTATGTCGGTTAACTCAACCAACGTAAATTTAAGTCTCCCGCATTGACGTTGAACTATTTTATGACGTAAAAAGCCTAAAATAACATATGTAAAATACATCTTTTGTAGTAGTAATCTTTCTTACTTTCTCATCACATATATTAGTTTCGCTACCTTTGTTTTCATCTTTTTCCTCCAGTCACCTAATTGGCTTATCCACCCAAAATGGGGTGAAGGTTAGCCATTATCACACCTATTATTCAGGCAGCATAAGGTATATATTATATGTGAACGAGTTAAAATAGTAATAATGTATGTACATGATTAAACTATACATCTTTCATTCCTCTGAGATAAATTAAAAGCCTGTGAGATCTTAGGTGGGAACTGATCAACAACATTCCAAAAACTAATTGTGAGTTCCTATTTGCCTACATTACATAGAATGCCTGCCATCAGTCCTCTCTTTTGTTGGTCTTTCTTCTTGGATTTCTTCCAAATCTTCATCCTCTCCTCTCCTACCTGCTTGCTCCTTCCAATATGCAACCAATTTCTTCAGCCGAGCTATCTCTTTAGAAGAAACATTTTTGCTTGGATCGTTCACAATTGATCTCACTCGTGATGCATACCTAAATTAACATGGATTATAAAGATTGTTAGAACAATAGAGAATATATACTAGCCAAATAAAACTATGAAAGATTTCAAAGTAAACATGGATAAGGAAAACATACATTAGAGAGTTATGTGTCTCATCCAAGCTTGATTCTGCTGGAGACACATTCACAAACATGAGAGTTTTGGCATTACCCCCAAGTGAATCACTCATCAACATAGTTAACTTGTGATTTCTGTAAGGTATGTGTTGACCACCAGAAGACAAAGCACTGATAACATCTCCTAGTGCTGATAATGATTTGTTGATACTTTGAGCTTCTTTAAGTTGACTGCCTGCAGAGCCTGACTTTTTTATTCTTTCTGAGCCAGCAAGATCCACAAAACTTAACTGTATGTTAAGTCCCAACATAAAAAAAGTTATTATCCACAATGCCTCTCATCAAATACTTGTGTTTCAAATTGTTACCCAATTAATAGAGGAATACTGACATAATTTATTCATACTGTTGTTCAAAGGTAAAATAGAAGTAATGTTCAATAATACCTTTCCTCTTGCAGTTGATTGGCTTTGAAGGTTGGTACTTTCAATGACAATTGAAAGTATGAGATGAGATCTTGAGCTTTCGTCATTCATTTGTGTCCCTGATGTATGTCGCTGCTCAGATCCCCTTTGTATTATGCTATTTAATTCCTCCACAGTCGAAATTGACACAACTGTTACGTTTTCTACTGCTACCATTCCCTAAAATAAGAGTAAAATAAAACAATCAAGAAGTCCAAACCTTGAATATAAACCTGTGTTATGTAAGGCTACAATTTTGTAAGCACTTGAAAGTCATTAATAGATATCCCACTTTATATTCTCATCATTCAAGAACAAAATATCTATAAATGGAAATTTACATTCACAACAAAGGATAATCACCTTTGAATCCTTCTTAATATCCAATTTTAAACGCTTTGCATTCCTAGGTAACAGAAGATCTACAAGAGTATCTTGATATAATTCCAACATATATGCCTGCATCGTAGATACAAAAGAAGTCTACATTAGACAACAAACAGACTTTTGCAAAACTCATTTGTTGTGGTTAAGTTACTCAACATTAAACCCATTGAAAGACAGGCAAAAACTATAATTTAATCATTTACCTATGCAAAATAATTATATGTACACACAGTAGATTTAATGACATCAAATTTATAAGATGCAGAGAAATATTAATTAATTGCCATTTCACAATAGTTACCTTCAAGGTAAAAGTATACTTGTTACTATCTCTCCTTAAAATTCTAAAAAGTTCTGAAGTGGCACGAGGGGTAAGCCCAGGATTGTTTTCAGCTCCATAGATTGTAAAAGTCTTTCCAGAGCCAGTTTGGCCGTAAGCAAATATGCAAACATTATAACCATCTACAGCTGATTGCACCAAGTACTGCATTGCAAATGTCCAAAAGAAAAACATTAGTAATGAGTATAAAAAATGTTAAATCTATTATAATGTATATATTATCTAAAGCAAAAAACAACTGTGATCTTTAATTTGTTATACTAAGACTTGCCCTTGTATCCTCAAATACTTCTTCTTGAGTGGCATCACCATCAAACACACGGTCATATATGTGCTGTTTTGGTTTATCATCTTTCCATGGATGCTCAACTGTAAACTCATCTATGGTAGTAAGAGATTTTTTTTCTTTGCTTGCAATCTCTTTTTCACTAAGAGGTCTTAATCGACAATAAACTCTTATCTTGCCTTTCATATCTGAAATAAAGAACCAAAATCCAATGTTGTTATTATCTCAGTTATATATGATCACATTCACAAATAGATAATAATTATTGAATAAGCAATCTGTCCACCACCTTCTATGGTATTAAAATATCGCTTTCTGAGAACCTGCTCTTCCTTATAAAGCAATTCCATTTCAGTTAGTTGAGCTGCTTGCATCTTCAGTATGGCAGCTGTTTGTTCATTCTTTCTATCAATGTCCTACATGAAATAAATAGAAATTTATCAACAAAAAAAAAATTATCTTTTAAACACGTACACCTAAAATGAATGCCCATAGCATGCTGACCGAAAGTGAAAATAAAATAAGAGCATCTGAACCTCTTTCATTTCTCTCAATTCTTCTAGTTCATCTAAATTGTTCTTCAATGCAGCCAACTCAGAGTCCTTGACCGAAAGTGTAGACTCTGCCACAGTTAATTCTTGTCTAAGCACATCCAGCTTTCGTTCAAGGTCATATACTTGAGAGTTCAGAGTTTTGCGTTCTTGTTCAAGTTTCAATTGACGAGAACTAATCTGAAATACAACCACCACCAAGACATTGATTGAACATCGTCTTAAAAAAAGTGGGTTTTGATTAAAATATAGAGTTCCAATAATCTATGTTACCTCTTCAGCACTCTTCTTCTCAAGCTCAGATAGCTTCTGTTCCAAAATAAATTTTTCACTTCTCAAGCTTTTGATAGTCTCTTCAGCTACAAGCAGCTCACCTTTACATAGTTTTAGGTCATCTTCAAGTTTTTGTGACACCTTAGGCACCAACCGAAGTCCAAAATTTATAAATCAAAAGTGAAAATGTCTATACTACTAAAAGGAATGAACAAATGAATAGCCAGTTTCGAAAAAGCATCTTACTTGGTTATTTGCTAGAATGGGGTCCTTTTTGGCAGTGTTCTCAGTAACCAGATTACTCAACTTAGTCACCTTCGCTTCCATGTTTCTTTTCTCTAGAATTTTAGCCTAGTAGATTGCAAAATCGTTAAGACAGGTCAATAGTGCCAAGATTAAAATGAGACTGATTCCATGAAGTTAAGAGCAAAGACCTTTACCTGAAGTGCCTTATCTTTTTCATCGCATAATGACCTAAGCTTGTCACGGTCATTTGTAACTTCTGCGAGACTCTGCTTATCAGCTTTTAAAGATTCTTTTAAGCCCTCTAATTCTTGTAGCATTTCGTCTTCTTGTTTTTGCTTCTCACGCAATTTTACCAGCAACTATTCAACATGATCCAAAAATATTACAACAAATGACTGAAAAATATGCATTTTACGGAAGAAAAAAAACATGTGTTTGGTTTAACTTATTTTGAGAAACATTCACTTTCTTGACAGCTTTCAGAGAGCAATTTTAGGGGGAAAGGATGATTGTTTCCCAAAGTTTAAGTTGAAACAAAGATGGCACCCACATCAAAAGATTGGTGCATCTAGCATACTATGTCTATACATAGTTTCATACGAGAATCTGGTCTCTTTATCTACAGAAAGAAAAATAGTGTAAAACTCAATTTTGAAGCTCGTGGCTAGCTCTATAGTCTGAAGCCAAATTAGGATAAGAAGCATTCTTTACTCTTCTCAGGGAAGCAAATAAACCCTATTAGTTTTTTTTTTACTATGCAATAACTAGGAAGAAACGACCTTTAGATTTAATGGTTCTGTTTGAAGTTTATTTTATGTCCTACATAACATACTACGACCCAGTTTGGATAAGGAGATAAAATAAATCAAAATTTTCTAAAAGGTTAAAACCAACTAATGCATATCAGCGTTTATAGAAGCTACTGCATCTAACTTCTCCAAAACTTGAAGTGCATAACTTGATTTAAACTTATAGAAGTTCAATTCATTTTACCTCTATTTTTTCTCCTGCAAGTACTTATTGAGAAGTTTATCCAAATTGAGCCAATAACATATATCACAAGCTTAGACTTACTTGATCAGCATTCCTTTGAGACTCTTCAACAAGTTTTGATAAATCTTGAACACGTTTTTCATATGATTCCAAATTAGAAGGCTTAAAATTATTAGAAATGTCTTCACTCAAAGAATCACCCGCAGCAGATCTTGCTTTGGAATAGCGGCGCAGCATTACGTCATTTATGTGTGTCTGAAGAGCCACACAAATTTCTTCTCCCTTCAAAGAATGATAAATACCAATGAAATACAAAATAAGTCCAACGGGATGAAGATATGAATCTGGTCCAGAGTAATACCTGCTTTGTTTCAAACTGGAATATGTGAAGAACACCTGCAACTCGCATTTTAAAGAATACTGCAGTATTGCTGCTTCCAAACTGCATTATGTCTCTCAACTCAGCAGAGTGCATATATTCCTTTGGAATGGGACGGAAAAAATGGACCTGGAAATAATTTATTGAAAGAAAAAAAATCAATTAAAAGCACAATTCATTTTTAAAAAGTTTTATACCTTATAATATAATAATTTAATCATCTGTTTGTCATACCCCTCTCTTGTTGATTCCCAATATTATTCGTCCAGGCAAGAGTCCAATAGGATCATCAATTTTGCGAACATTGAAGAAAACAGAAAACCCATAGGGAAGTGTTCTCAATACATGCAGAAATTGCTGCCTTGCATCATCTTTTGTCACATGTGCCTGTAAAGGGAACAACATAAATCAGATAAGGAAGAAAATCAGCATATTTCATCGAATGCAATAGGTATACTTGAAGCAAATATTAATTTCCACGATTAAAACCAATACATGAGTGGAAAATGACTTTGTGAGATGTTCAGTGAATGGTTTGAAATAAAATGAATAACAAAAGCCACAAAAAGAATAAATTAATCATACTTATCACTGATCAAATGTTAAAGAAAAGTAAACAGATAGGCTTAGGCTCTTGGAAATTTTCCCAGACTCATACCAGTGAATGATAGCAAGAAAGAATGTCCAACTCCCATTCCCGTTTTGCTCGAGTCATTGCTATTTGTCTAGGAAGAAATTGCTCCAGAAATGAATTCCAGTCACTGATCAAAACAAAATAATCAGTTAGTTGAAATCACAAGGAAATAAAAAATGATAAGTTCC